TTCTACTTGACCACGGCAGGATTTGAACCCGCGGCCTTCGGTATACTAGTTTTTATATGGCAACAAAGATTAGCTTATTTAGTTTACGATTAACCGTTCTTATATCGACACGACCAAAACTGGCCGAGTTATCGTCTTTTAATCGTTTATCGTCTTTCCGCCGATGGGAATTCGAAATTAGACCTCCATGCAGACAAAAGAAAATGCAAATTTAATTAATGGAGGCATTGTGTTCTTCAAACTTCTATCGTTGAACATTGAATAAGCAGAATTTTGCGATAAATTTGCATTGTAGTTTTCAGTAGTGATTAGATTTTAAAGCCCTTTGGGACTAATTTTCAATAAAACAAACGTCCAGTTCCCATCGGCGGAAAATGGTGATTTTTATGAACTTTTTTGTCGAACCAGTACTTCTTCATTTTTCAACTAAATTACACGTACAACGTGTCATTTGAAAAAGAAATAAATGAACTTAACAATGGTGTAAAAATCAACAAATTTGTCAAATATATTCTGCAGTATTACACGCAAAATTTCGATTCGAATTTTTTTTATACACCTGGTATACCAATGAAATAAGAGCCCGGTTTCGTGTCGACAAAATAGAACATCCACATTTTGTCTTTGATTTCCTGCTCACTTTCTGTACTCAGAACGATTTATACAATCATTGATAAGTCATATTTTTCATGCAAGATTGTTCCACCAGGCCTCCAACTAGCTAGGTGTCTGACAGTAACACCAATGTTCTACCTTTTAAAATTCTCAGTGTCCGAATGTAAATAGTATTATAGTTTTTATTTCCTACAACAAATAATATCAATCTTCGTACGTTTTGTAAGGTTGTAGCTACGATGATACGATCATGTAAGTGTGAAGTCGTCGAAATTAACAATTTGACAGATGAATTGTTGATTGCATTATCATATTGTAGGTGGTCTATAATTGGTAGGTTCTATTTTAGCCTAGTTTAGACGAAACTTATGATAGTAGAGCTGATTTCTATTTAGTTAATCTGTCAACGTCCCAAATCTGACATACAGAAATTTTTCAATTTTTCCGGTTCTTATCGTGAAAATACGCTTTAAGAAAATTATTCTGTATTCGGAATTCAATGACTGTGCCGTTATCATTCCAAAACCAGCAAGAGACTTACAAATACAATATTAATTGTTTTCCAGGAATAACATTTGCAAACCTAAATATACCTGCTCAATAAAAGTGAAACTGATCTGTACTGATCTAAATTATTTTATATCATGGGCGGTGAAACTACACGGATTTTGGGGGGGGGATATTCATATGCACTGTTCTCCCCTGTTATTTATTCATATACACTGTTCTGCGCGATGGATTTCTTTTGACCCATTGACTTTGTTCATTTTCGCGCTTGTATACCATAAAATATCTACAAACACTGATAAGTACAGATTGCAGTCACGTAGCAATGCGGCCTGACAATTTAGTCCTGCTATACTAATATTTTAGTGCATCTTGATTATGAAAACAAATAATTTCTGCAGAAATGAATAATGATTATTTGTTCATCAAGGAATAAGACGCTGACACTTTGTATGCAAGATCAAATCCACTCCAATGAAACTCTACTCCACAAATCCATTAAAAAATTATCCTGTCCAGTTGTAGAACCAAAATACCAAAAAAATACCAAAAAAAAAATTGTACCAAAATAATAGTACGAGTTATGTTTGAAATATTCATCAAAATTAAAAAAGCGGGATGGGAGAGTTTAATTTTCCCAAATTTGAAACATCACGAGTACTATTCTAATAACCGCTAATTGTACCAGCAACACTACATTATTGCATGGCAAGGCCGTGCGCAGGATGTTTAAACAATAATTCATTTTGACTGCTCTGCGTCGATTGATTCCAAATTTATCTTCGAGAATTTAATTTACATACTTCTGAAAACTCAAAATTCGCGTCGCGTTGTCGCTTCGCGTCCGGTCTGTGTCCACCTTAATAAGTAAATAAACACGGCGGAGTATAGCGGCTAAATGCACATTAAAAACTGTAATCACCATCCTTAAGTCTCACCAAACAAAGAAGAAACATTATACAATTAAAAACTAAATAATATTATTAGAAAACTACTGCAGAAAATGACAATTATTCAGTAAATAGAATTTCGGTTCTTCGCCTACATACCCATTTCCATTTTCAGCCCAAAAACGGTACTCGCGACTTCCAGTGTTATCACATTTTGGACGATTGTTACGGCAGCGCATTTGCCTGATTGAATATTGCTAACGTTACTCGTAGCGGAAGTCGATCTTAACCTCCCTAGTGTACAGCTAACGGCACGAAACGACATTGGCAATGAGGCCTCTTGTTACGTTAAACTTCACTGCTTAACCTTTGAACCTCGCTCTGCCAGCAAAAAAACTCTTCGGGTTGACGTGTGAGGGCGTGACTTACAGAACTAGAAAGCAGAGGTCCCCAGGGGGGGTTTAGAGAGGTTAAGTGAACTTTCTAGACGTACATGAGCCCATTAGGAAGGTTATAAAATTGCATGTCATACATAACACAAAGACTAGCCCGTGTTCGGTCCCCGTCGGCTGAAATTTTATATTGACTACTTTTTATTGTTGTATTTAATTATTGTATTAAAAGAAAATAATGTAATAAAAAACGAACTTCAAAGCGTGCGTTGATACGTACTACATAGAATATAGTAATTATATTCGCTAACTTAGTCAGTAATTTAGGGTCCAATATTCATAATTTACGGTAATTCTATGTCGTTAGTAATTGAAGACCTTAACTTTTTAAGCTTAAAAATTGTCTTGAATTTTTCAATTGGAAGCTTGCAGGTTATAACAATTGTTTCCACTTATACTATTTTACTATTTGCTGTAATCATCTTCCTGGCAACATCTCGCAGTATATGACAATATTAGAAGATAAAAAGGTCTTAGAATGCGAGACGAATATATAGAGGCTGAAAATAAACAATGGCTCAATTTAAAAAACTTTTGACGAAACAGTAATACAGGCACATGCAGATAATTATTTTTCATCGGTTAAATGTAATTTATGAAACGAATGAAAAAAAAGCACTTTATTATTAGAAACAAAATGTGCATGGCAACATCTTCTCAATTCTAAAACCCTTCATCTTCGATCAATACTTTGAAAAATTAAAATTTAAGTTTAACTGATTTTCTGTGAACATTACGACCAACATTCTTCAACCACTTTGTGGACTGGCATAATTCTTTTCGCACTTCCTTGCTTATGTGATGTCTCTCCTCGTACAACGCTATTGAACGGCATATCTGTACGCACATGGTCGCTATAACGGTCCGGTAATGAAATTGTTTGAACACGATCCACGCAGTATATAAATGAAACAAAAGCCTTTCAAATCCATATCCGCTTCCTTTCCTTAAATACACTTGGCCAGTTATGATCACGATTTGTACAAAATTTCGAGGCACCAGTAAAGGTGATTCATTTAAAGCACAAGATCAATAACCACTTGCTTGGTGTGATGATTATAAATAAGGAAGCAACAAATACACGTATGGGTATAATTATATCGTTTAGTCGATTGAAGCACTGTCACAATACCCAACCCTTCATCTGTCCAATACTTTAACACTGGTAACATATTTCGATTTTATTGCTTTCCTTTTCTAGTTCAGTGAGTAGCATGATTACGGTATACCATATGATGAGTTGAAAGTGTATTCCTTTTCTCAATGTAAAATAATTGCTCTTGCAGTCTTGCCGATTTCTAACTTTCGTATGTGAAGCCATTATTGTTTCAATATTGTTTCAATTATTGTTTCAGTTGCCCGATTTTTGTTACGCCGATGAGATAGCTGTGAAGACGTTTGTCAACAATTGTCAAAACAAATGTCATTAGTGTTCTACTGGGTCGTAGAAGGTAGATCGGTTTGATTGATGTTATCTTTTTTTTAAACAGAAGGCAAAATATTGAACTATTTCATATGTTTTTAACGATGTTTTCGCCGTTGCAAGTTCAAAGTCCTTATCACTGAACAACGCTTTGATGATCCTCAAATATTTTACATCCTTCTTCATTGCGCAAACACATCAATACAATACGCGTGATGTCGGTCCACTAGGTTTTAGAATGTTGGCTAAAGTTTATGTTATTTCTTATCTATAAATAAGTATCAAGTTATATCTGAAAGCGTTTGATGTTTACAACGTTGTAAGAAAAATTGAAACTCTCCTCTTTCTTCATGAAAGTTTAAGCATACTTTGAGAACCTCATTTATTAATGGTAGGTAGGTACATTTAGTATAAATATAACTCTGATTCGAATAACAGAAAATTACAGAGCAAAAATCAATTAATTAATAATTTTGACTTTTTTACTAAATAAAGTTTGCTTAAAATTTCTTAACATTAGAAGCTGCTGCATATAAATTAAATATTTCTGTTATCTTAAAGAAAAAATCTGGAATTCCGCAAACTTATAATATTGAAGGTCAACTTTTCCAGATATAATTTGCTACATGCACTTTATTTTCTAGATGCACATACATGCACCAAAATATATCTCGGAAACGCTGAGCAGGAAGGTGTTAGCCTGCATTTGTTTTTCCAAGTAATTTTTTTTGCTATGTTGCGCATGCCTGAAACAAGTGTACATTTATTTCTGGGAGCAAGTTCAAATGCTTGCACAAAAAGTTTAATCTGCAAAGTCAAATAAAGTGCTGCTTTTATCAGTGAAAATTTCATACAGGCAGCCACCCCCCTTTTTTCAAAAATATAACTATTGAATGTGAACCGATGACGAGTGGAGAAAAAAAATAAAATATCTGCTTGCTATAGCGTATTGTTTTAACACTGAAATGATATCCTACATATAATTTTACTTGCATACTGGAAATTAAAGAGAAGTAAGCAGGTTAATGTTCTAATCCTGACTGGCCCGATACCTCAATAACGAAAGGATTAAAGCCTGATTCATGCAATTTGAAAGAAAATGCTATTCCCCTTCTTGGGACCAGCGTATGCAAATAATGGGAACAGGGAACAAGTATGCAAATAATGGGGATAGGGAATTCTTAAATCACATTTGAATTGAAATTGATATATACTTACGGCTTGGCGATAACTGCAAAACTGCATACCAATCGTACTTCGTCCAATGCACTATCACACTTTGAAGAGAGGAAATGTCTACCTATTTTGATTTAAAAAACTGAATATTTCAAATCCGATACTGGCTAAACAAAGCTATATGATTATTATACTTACAAACCTTAGGGTAATACAACAAAACCAGAGAACATGTCACGCGATTTATCTCTGATATTTTCGATGACATGTTTCTGAAAAACCACGTCCTCCCCGTAAATGGTAAATGGGGCCCAGATTTTGTAAGACCGGTATGCCTGGATTTGGTGTTTTTGGAAGAGATTCTTTGTCTTCCTTAGGGCTTCACAAACCGTTGTTCCCTGGCACAACTCACCATAAAATACTTCCATAAACTCTTTCGTGGCATCATCACTAATGGGCCATAGTGTGGCGAGAACAGTGCGAGCCCCGGCTGCAATAAATGCCCGAGCAATACCTATGACACCTTCGGAAGAAATCTCACCTTGCCCGGTATGGCAACAGCATAAAACTACCAAGCTAGCTAGCAAAGAAGTATTTACAATATCCTTCTGTGAGAGAAGGTAGTCGTCTGGATAAGGAAGAGTCGAAAATGGCCGAGTCGAAGAAACGTTAGGGGAAAGCATTATTTCACCTCGAAGTTGTTCACCGTGAGCAGCGATATGGATTATGCTACCCCCAGATAAAAGATCCAGTACAACCTGTTTTCTAGCTTCACGCCCCACCAAGGGTCTAGCATTGAAAAGCTTCGAAAGACATTCAACTTCTCTAGCAGCATTTGGTAGGGCAGAGGGTGAAAATTCTTTTCCATTTAAGGAAACCGTTCCAACGGTTGGATTACCAACAAACAACGCAAAACCAAGGCCCAGATCTTGAGAGCGTTCAGTGCTAAACCTTAGAGTGTGTAATGATGGCGTAACTTGAATGCTGTAACTGTGGGATAAATGACAACCATTTTCATCAATCAATGACGAAAATGGGGCAAAAAACAATTGCTTGTCCGGAACAACTATAAGCTTATTGCCTTTAAACACATCGCTTACAGGGTCAATCAGCAGTTTAAACAATGTTTTCAAAATACCGTCTTGGTTTAAATCATCATCACCAACAGAAGGTTTCTCAAACTGATTTTTACACGGAGATTTCTCTTTAAAAACGTGCAAAGGAAGAATCGATTTTTCATCAATACTGGCCACTGAATCGAGTTCGAAAAACGAAGAATCTCGATTAACATTCACATTCACCATTCTGAACAATTCACTTATCAGTTGCACAAATGTTTCCAAACGTGCTTCTGATTTTGATACTCTAAAGATTACTTCTTCATTCAACACCCAAACATTGAGAAAACCTTGCAAATCGAAAGCAAATACTATAATGGAAGTATCGTTACTGCTTACCTGGAGGATGCTCTGTAATTCTTCTATTTCTACCTGTTCTTCACTATTCCTGATTCTCTTCCATCCTGCATTTGCATAACCGAACATTTTTGTATTCAAAGATTTATTTTTTCTTTCAATGGAGCAATGAAGTTCTTTAGCCCTTCCAAGGTCAATGACTAATAATGCAGATTGAATGCGCCCCAGAGAAATAATAATAATAATAATAATAATATACAATATTTATACAGGTTTACTTGATCAGCTAACCAGAGTATAGCTGCTATCATTCAAGGACCTGTTAAACTAAGTATTAAAAAACTATAATAAAATTATAAAATATTAATATATTGTCTAAATAGAGTTTATAAAGTAGATATTAGAAAAGTCCTTATCAATTATAGACGTGGTTGTTTAATATCCTACGAATCCATAAAAAACGATTTACATTTCTGCCTAAAATTTAAAATAGATATCTCATTCCTTAGTTCTTCCGGTAAGTCATTAAAAACTAGAGCACCTTGAAATGAAAACATTTTTCGTCCAGATTCAGTTTTTACTTTTGGTAATCGCAATTTTGAATTGTTCCCTCTTGTTTCCTTTTGATGGGAAATTTTTTCAAAGGTGCCGTTAAAGACCTCAGGTGCGAGACCATTTAAACTTTTAAAGACTTCTTGTACACAATGTTGTTTCATCACATTTCTTATATAGCACCAGCGGTTTACGGTTTCATTTTTCCTGTGAACGATTTTAAAAGCACGATCTTGAATTTGTTGAATCCGGGAATTTGCAGTGTTAGATATACTAAGAAACAGATTGCTGCAATAACAAATGGTTGGTTCTATCATCACTTTATAAATCATCTCAGCAACATATGGGCTAATATTTTGTCGAATGCGTGACAAGAGCTTGACTCTCCCTGAGGCTTTTTTAATAATTCTGTGAATGTGTTTATTGTAATTTAAAGACTTGTCCAATAGGACACCCAAGTAGTCATACGAATCGACTTCATTTACGCTGGTTCCATTCATCATTACTTCAACTTGTGTTGATTTACTTAACTTTTTATTTGTTCCAAACAACACAAATTCGGTTTTTCCTTTCTTGAGGTTTACAACGAGCTTATTGACCGAAAACCAGTAAGTAAGTTTGGTAAGATCTGCATTTAGATTTGATTGAATAGTTTCACACGATTTATTGGATGTGAAAATTACCGTATCATCAGCGTAAAGAAGGATTTTGCAGCTCTGTAATTGCATGTCGATATCGTTGATAAGTAACACAAAGAGCAGAGGGCCAAGCACTGACCCTTGTGGGACACCAGTAAGAACTGTTTGTCTTACAGAGCTTGCCGAATCATACGAAACAAATTGTTCCCTTTTAAACAAGTAGTTTTCAAACCATATAAGCTCTCTTCCACTGATACCATAGCATGGAAGTTTTGAAAGAAGACGCCCATGATCTATTGTATCGAAAGCTTTTTTTAGGTCGATAAATACTGCCCCGGTTAACTCGCCCTGATCCATATGTTTTCTGATGTAGTCCGAAAAATAAGTCACAGGATGTTGTGTTGACCTATTTCTTCTAAAAGCGAATTGGTTTTTAGATAAGAGTGAATTCTTCTCAAGGTATTGGTACAATTGATTTTGAACAACTCTTTCGAACACCTTAGATAAGACTGGAAGAACCGATATGGGCCTGTAGTTATCCATGGAAGATCGGTTACCTGATTTAAAAACTGGAGTAATTTTTGCACATTTTTCAGCTTGAGGAAAGACAGATTCTTCTAAGCACGAATTTATAAGATAGGTTAAAGGAACTGCAATTTCTTCAGCACAGTCCTTAATCATTGATGTTGGGATATTATCATAACCCGCAGCTTTGGATCGTTTTAGTTGCCTCAAAATGTTAACTAAGTCGTGGGCAGATATCTTTTCAAAATTGAATTGTGATTCCTTTGGGTTAATTATTTTCGATAAATTGGCATGATCGTGACTTTCCCAAACAGTGTTTCCAAGGGTGACTAAGGACGCCTGTAGCGTTTTTCCTACATTCGTGAAATACGTGCTGAAACCATTGGCAATAGCATTTTTATCAGATGTTTTAAATCCATTTATGTCAAAAATCTTGGTGGTCATCGTTTTCTCTTCTTTTACAGGATAAGACCGTTTGATTTGGTTCCAGAATACTGTAGGAGTGTTTACGTTTTCGTTGAGAAGAGATCTATTATGGTTTGCTTTACTTTTCCTTATCGCACATGTGATACTATTACGTAATTTTTTGTATGCTAACCAGTCAGCAGCCTTTCCACTTGTTTTTGCTTTCTTCAGGAGGAAATCACGGTTCCGTATTTTGGATTTGATCTCGGAGGTTAACCACGGACAATCTCGACCTCTGACCATTTTTTCCAATATAGGTGCATGTTTATCAATAATTGCTGTCAGGGAGCATTTAAATGAGTTCCAGGCATCATTTATATCTATGTGACCTCCAATGATGTTTTCCCATGATATCTGGCTGAGATCAGATTTAAAACTTTCTTTATTATATCTTGAAAAGTTTCTAGTGTAAATCTTACGAGGCTGAAATCTGCGACAGTTCATTTTCCTTATTGTTCCAATGAGATCGTGATCGCTTAATGAGTTAGGGTAAACAATTTGTTTTAACAAGTATTGCTCATGTGTAGTTACAATAATGTCAATAAGTGTTTTTGAATTTGGCGTCGTTCTAGTTCTGAATTTAAGTGAATTTCTGAGTTTAAAAATATTTTGTCAAAGATGCTGATAGATTTCATGAAATATATTACTGCTGTTTCATGCTGACCTAAACATCGATGTACAGCTCCCAAATTCTTATTACTACTTGCTAAGAGTGACGGATCATTAATGGCAATGCTTATTTCCAAACCTTTCTTGTAATAGTCAATGGCTTTCTCGTATTCTCTTAATCGAAGATAGGCATTGCCCAGATTGCCATTCTGAGTTGCTATTCCAGATTTATCGCTAATTGCAGTATTAATATCTAATGCCTTTCTGTAATAGTCAATAGCTTTCTCGTATTCTCCAAAGCTAAGGTAATCATTGCCCAAATCGCAATTGCTATGTGCTATTGCTGACTTATTGCCAATGGCAGTACTCATTTCTAAACTTTTTTTGGAACAGTCAATGGATTTTTCATATTGTCTTAAACTTCTATAAACATTGCTCATATTGTTATTGACCATTGCTATTTTTAACTGATCGCCAATAGCAGTACTAATTTCTAAACACTTTTTTTGGTAATCAATAGCTTTTTCATATTCTCCCAAGCATCTATAAGTACTGCCCAAACCGCCATTCGCACTTGCGATTCCTGATTTATTGCCAATATTAGTACTTATTTCCAAACCTTTTTCGAAGTAATCAATAGCTTTCACGTATTCTCCCAAACAACGGTAGGCGATGCCCAAATTGACATTGTTTGTTGCTATGCCTGACTTATACCCTATAGCCGTACTCATTTCTAAACCCTTTTTGTAATAGTCAATAGCTTTCTCATACTCTCCGAAGCTAAGGTAAGTATTGCCCAAATTGCCATTCCCAATCGCTATTCCTGTCTTATCGCCTATAGCACGACTCAATTCCAAGCCTTTTTCGCAATAGTCAATGGCTTTCACATAGTCTCCTAAACTAAGGTAGGCATTTGCCAAATTACCAGTGTTTTTTGCTATTCCTGCCTTGTCACCAATAGAAGTACTAATTTCTAAACCTTTTCTGCCATATTGAATGGATTTCTCATAATCTCCTAATTCAAGATAAGCAAGACCTAAGCTGCAATAATTATTTTCTATTCCTAACTTGTCACCAATGACAGTACTCATTTCTAAACTAGTTTCGAAAGAGTCAACGGCTTTTTTATAATCTCCAAGGCTAAGGTAGGCATTGCCTAAATTGCCATTGTTAGAGGCAACTGCACGCGTCTGGCCAATATCAGTACTCATCTCTAAACTTTTTTTAAAATAGTCAATAGCTTTCTCATATTCTCCTAATTTAAGGTAGACATTACCCAAATTGGCATTGTTATTTGCTAATCCTGACTTATCGCCAATAGCTGCACTTATTTCTAAACCTTTTGTGCAATAACGAATGGATTTCGCGCATTCTCCTAATTTAAGATAAGCAATTCCTAAATTGCAATTGTTGCTCGCTATTCCTGACTTATTGCTAATAGCAGTACTCATTGCTAAACCTCTTTTGAAATAGTCAATAGATTTCTCAAACTCTCCTGAATTGAGGTAGGCTAAACCTAACCTTTCACTGTTTCTTGCTATTTGTAACTTATCACCAATAGCAGTACTCGTTTCTAAACCTTTTTTGCAACAGTCGATGGCCTTGGTATATCGTCCCAAACTAACGTACGTCATGCCTAAATTGGCATTGTTACTTGCCATTCCTGACTTATCGCCAATAGCGATACTGATTTCTAAACCTTTTTTGAAATACTCAATGGCTTTTTCATATTCTCCTAAACTATGGTAAGCATTACCAAAGTTGCTATTGTTACTTGCGATACCTGATTTATCGCCAATAACAGAACTTATCTCTAATCCTTTTTTGAAATACTCAATGGCTTTTTCATATTGTCCTAAACTATGGTAGGTCAGGCCTAAATTGCTATTGTTAGTTGCAATTCCTGACTTATCACCAATAGCTGTACTCATCTCCAAACCTATTTTGAAATAGTCAATGGACTTCTCATATTCGCCTAGAGTAAGGTAGGCATTGCCCAAATTCCCATTTTTAGTCGCTATTCCTGACTTGTCGCCTATAGCAGTACTCATTTCTAAACCTTTTATATAACATTCAATGGATTCCTCATATTTTCCTAAATAGAAGTAGGCATTACCCAAATTGCCAATGTTAGCTGCCATTCCTGACTTATTGCCATTAGCAGTACTGATTTCTAAACCTCTTCTAAAATAGCTAATGGCTTTCTCATATTCTCCTAATCTAAGGTTAGCATTGCCTAAATTGCCATAGTTAGTTTCTATTCCTGATTTATGGCCGATAGCAGTTCGCATTTCTAAACTCTTTTTAAAATAGTCAATGGCTTTCTCATATTCTCCTAACATAAGGTAAACATTGCCCACATTGCCATTTATAGTTGCTATACCTGATTTATCGCCAATAGCCGTTCTAATTTCTAAACCTTTGTTAAAATAGGCTATAGCCTTCTCATACTCTCCCAAACGAAGGTAGGCATTACCCAAATTGCAATTTTTACTTGCTATACCTGGCTTATCACCAATAGCAGTACTCAATTCTAAACCTTCTTTTAAATAGCCAACGGATTTTACGTATTCTCCTAATCTGAGATAAACATTGCCCAAATTGCCATTGTTATCGGCCATTCCTGACTTATCACCAATGGCAATATTCATTTTTAAACCATTTTTGAAATAGTCAATAGCTTTCTCATATTCTCCTAAACTAAGGTAAACACTGCCCAATTTGCCATTAATTTCTGCCATTCCTGATTTGTCGCCAATAGCAGCACTAATTTCAAAACCTTTTTTGAAATAGTCAATAGCTTTGTCATGCTCTCCTAAACTATAATAGGCAGTGCCTAAATTGCCATTGTTAGTAGCCTCTCCTGAGTGATTGTCAAATTGAATGGAAATTTCTAAGCTTGTTGCAAAATACTCGATAGCCTCCTCATGCTGCCCTAGATGTAAACAGGCAGAACCTTGTTTCTCACAGGCAGTTGCTAACCCTTGAAAATTGCCAATTTCAGTGCAAATTTCCCTATATTCAATGTAATAGGTTATAGCCTTTTTATACTCTGCTAATCTAAAATGGGTATCACCTGAGTTGAGATTGATGTTTGCTCTTTCTAACGGATCATTGTTTGCCGTGACAGATTTTGAAGATTTCGAATCCATTTTCTTACCTTTTCAAGTGTCTCTATCTTTACTTCAGACCTTAAACAAAATTATGTAAAAACTAATTAGAAGCTAGAGGTTAATTAATGTATACACCGTGCATGGAAGAGTATTTCCTTTGTTGACACTATCGAATTTTGAGGTGTTATTGTGATCGACACTTGTAATAGTGATAATCGGACTGGTAATAGTGATATTGAAAATGCACCATTGGGCTGTTTTTGGGACAAACCTTTGTTCACTCTTTTAATTAAATAAATAATAATATAAGTTACTGCAATAGTATACATTCATTTCTAAGAGAGAGCCTTTGTTTAAGTCCCAAAATAGGACTTAACTCCCTCAACACCAGTCCACAAGCGCAATTTGGAAATCGAGGACAAATTAACAATGTATAAAGTGGCTCTCGGTTAGAAATGAATGTATACTAATGCAGTAGCTTATATCATTATTTAAAAGAATCCACAGCCATTTATTTCTATAAGCCTTTTGTGCAATAGCGAATGGTTACGTTTTTGTGCAATCTCCTAATCTATAAGATAAGTAATTCCTAAATAGCAATTGTTGCTTGCTAGTGCGTTTACAATTAGTTGAGCCGAACGATTGGTATCGGCACGTTTATTTGAAAAGAAAAGCAAGGCACCGGCCTTAAAACAGCTACATCAGCTATTAGAAAATGAAAATGTGTTTACTAAACGGGATTGACATGCAATCAACAATAGTAATTATGTACCGCACTTGTCAACTGCAGAAGTATAATAGAATATACGCTCTTCTTCGGACTTTAAGATATTTGATAGATCCAGGAAAATCTACGCCGATTACTCTGAAATGTATATTTAATTATCATCTTCGGTCTATTCGTGGGCACAAATTCAGCAGGCGGGCTTGGAATAGGTAAAGCAGGAAATCTCTTACATGTATAACGTTTCTTTAGAAGTCGCTTTGCCAGCTTACGAAGGCAAATATGGCCGAGAAATCCAAAATTCCTCACGAACTTTCGTCTTCACGAACTTTCCGCTCTTGGGCTCTGCGGACCCAAAATAACTCTTGATCTAGAATCCCTTGCATTGTTAAGGGTCTCTGGATCTTATCGAAAGGATTGTGCTTGAATCTCGAGGCCCAATCACCAATCTTCCTGGCTTTACTCAAGCCGAACTCTTCGAGGATTCATCGAGGCCATTATTTCCCTTCTTCTCTTCTTCTGGCCTTTCATCTGGATCAGCCAACTAAACTAGACATTTCCACCACAACGCTGCTGACATGACACTGACGCCACGACTACCCAAGTCTGCAGGGTTGTCAGATGTATGAACATGCACTGATGGCTTTGTAATACATTCGCATGGCTTTTAATTTTGCTAACACGGTTAGCAATGAATTGTCAGTATTCGCTATAGTCGTTCAATCAATGGACGGGTACTGTGCTGTCTAACATGCAAACATGAAAATGTCATGCACGTTTTAAAGTTTATCGACATCAGGGAAGTTTTCAGTATCCTCAGCCTTATTCAAAGGAAGGCCAAGACGTTTCCTCTCCCCTTTCCAAGGTTGACCGAGCTGCTGATCTTGATTTCCAAATGAATGTTAACGGTGATTAGGATTTGTGTCCAGCTCCTCTCTACGTTCGGATTCGATTTGTGAATGAAGAACAAACTGAGAATCGTTGAAGGACATCGATATGAACGGCATCTCGTCGGATTCGCGGAAACGAATTTGGAGAAATTTCTGGTTCTAATCCTCCAAAGGGGCAACTGGGTGCAGGCGATTTCTAACCTACACACTCCAAAACTTATTCTGCAAGTAGTGGCCGTGCATTTAACACAGGTGCATTATTGGAAGCACGCCCAGATATTTACGCCACTCATCTGACCAGCCTTATCATAACACTGCGCAATCAGCATTATTTTAAACAAGCTGCTCTTTTTACTCTAGGACCTGTAAAGGAGTTTGCATGCATTTCATTTAGGACAGATTATCTCAACTGTTTTAGGGTAAATTTGGCGATGGCGGTCAACATAGTATAAGTGCCAAAAGCTGAATCCGGGACGAAAGTCCTGAAAATGACTACACCCAAAAACTGCATAAACGACATAACTCTAAATCCTGAATTATCAAAGCTACAGTCTTTCTGAATTGTTTATATGGTTCAGAATGGTTGCTTTTAGGGGTGGTCACTAAAGAGTGAAATTAGCATAAGTTTCATATTTTACAAGAAAACGAATGTTTACCATTCCAGGTCAACTGCTAATTATGCATAAAATTACAGATTCACCTAGCAAAGTTTAATTTTTCCTATTTTCTAAGAATTTTGCCATATGATGAAAAAACATGCTTATTTCAATATAATCATTCTAAATTTCCTAGGAAATAACAATGTTTTCTTGCGATACGACATATTTCAAATCACTTATCCCCCGCCAGAACACGATCTGAGCCATATTTTGCAAATTTAATCGCCGTTTTTCGGTATAAAAATGTTGTACTTTAGCACGACTCTACAGGATGTATAAAAAAAATTCGAATCCAACTTTGACAAGCTGTTGTGTATAAAATACTAAAGTAAACGATAAATTTTTTATATGGCAACAAAGATTAGCTTATTTAGTTTACGATTATACCGTTCCTATATCGACACGACCAAAATTGGCCGAGTTATCGTCTTTTAAAAATTATTGCTCGAAATCAAATTTTTCCGCCGATGGGAATTCGAAATGAGACCTCCAGACAAAAGAAAATGCAAATTTAATCAATGGAGGCATTGTGTTCTTCAAACTTCTATCGTTGAACATTGAATAAGCAGAATTTTTGCGATAAATTTGCGTTTTAGTTTTCAGTAATGATTAGATTTTAAAGCCCTTTGGGATTAATTTTCAATAAAACAAACGTCCAGTTCCCATCGGCTGAAAATGGTGATTTTTATGAACTTTTTTTGTCCAACCAGTACTTCTTCGTTTTTCAACTAAATTACACGTACAACGCGTCATTTGAAAGAGAAATAAATGAACTTAACAATGGTGTAAAAATCAACCAAATTTGTCAAATATATTTTGCATTATTACACGCAAAATTTCGATTCGAATTTTTTTGATACACCCTGTAGTTGACTAAAGAGTTATTCAACCAATTTTCGATGGGTTTGGAAGTAGTGCCATGTAATATTTTTTCATTTTTTTGTCCCTTAACATTTCATCAATCATGTCGCTATTGCAATGTTTCGCCGCCATTCTGCACGATAAATGCCAGTTCTTGATCCCGAGCTGTATTTTTTTCAGAGCATCGATAAATAATTGATAGTACAATAGCAGCTATCCAAAATTTAAAAGCATTTGTCCCACTTGGTAGTAAAACACCACCTCTTGTTTATCGGGAGTGAAGTTTAAGTGCGAAATATTCAAAATGATTTAAAAGTCTAGCGCACACTCCACGACTAGTGCTCGTGGGCAACATTGCAGGGGGTGATAAATTTCCACAATTATGTTTCTGGTTTATTTTTTTAGCTTTGTGAAAGCAAGAACATGCAATTTAAACGCGGCCGGAGACTTGTTATTTTGTTATGAGAAATATTAACACTAAAACGGACAAATTTTACTCTGGTTGTTAACTGATGTGGTTGTGAACAAATGTATGCTTGAATTTTCGTCCCTCCGTAATGCTGTCCACGAGGACTCGTCGCGGAGTTTGCGCGAGACTTTCAAATTATTTCGAAACTTTCGCACTTGAATTTCATTCCCCATAAACGAAGGGAGGTTTTTTACTTCCAAGTTGGACTAATTCTTTTAAATTTTGGATAGCTGCTACTGTATTATCAATTAATTATCGATGCTGTGAAAAAAATTCAGCTGGGGATCAAGAAGTGGCATATATCGTGCAGAAAGGCGGTGAAACATTGCAATGGCGACATAATGAACGTCAAGGGAAACAAAAATGAAAAAATATTACATGGCACTACTTCAAAACCCATCGAAAATTGGTTCAATAATTCATTAGTCCACTAGAATCGTGCTAAAGTTCAGTATTTGGATATTGCTTGCAACGGACGGCGAAAAACGGCGATCAAATTTGCAAAATATGGCTGAAATCGTGTTCTGGCGGGGGGGAAGTAAAATGAAATATGTCGTATCGCAACAAAACATTGTTATTTCCTAGGAAATTTAGAATAAATATACTAAAATAATTATGTTTTTTCATCATATGGCAATTTTTTTTAGAAAATGGGAAAAATTAGACTTTGCTAGGTCAATCTGTTATTTTACTCATAATTAGCAGTTGAACTGGTATAGTAAACATTCATTTTCTTGTTAAAATATATGAAACTTAGGCTAAGTTCACTCTTTAGTGACCACCCCTAAAAGCAACTATTCTGAAACATAAGCAATCCAGAAAGACTGTAGCTTTGATAATTCAGGATTTAGAGCTATGTCGACCATGCCGTTTCTGGGTGTGGTCATTTTCAGGACTTTCGTCCCGGATTCAGCTTTTGGCACATATGCCATGTTGACCGCCATGGTCATTGTACCTTAAAACAGTTGAGAATATCTGTCCTAAATGAAATACATACAAACTCCTTTACAGGAGTTTAAAACTACACATTTTTAACATTATTAAGCCTCCAGAAAAATTCGAATCTCAGTACTCAGGTTGAGATATCCAATTATATAACAGCTAAATATATATACTACACTCGAATGTACTCACTCATATGCCATATATATTTATGTTCGTTATTTAGTTGCATTTCGAAAATCCGGCACGCCGATTATTTGGAAGAAACACTTAATGTGCATAAAAAACGACAAATTCCTTCAGGATTTATGTCAGAATTTTTCGAATTTTCTATTAAACAGGGAAAATCTAACCCTGGACCCGCAAACCGAGCCCTTCATTTTGGTGAGTTGAATCACGAACCTTCTGCTCCGATTATAAAACAATATAACAGTTCAGACCTGTCGGTCTTTTATGCAAACGCTGGAAGTATAGTTAACAAAGTTGATCTGCTT